TTTGGAATGAGTGACTTGAGTTAGGAGCACGATATCTTGAACAATAACAGAATGACCTTGCAATGCAATATTTTGTTTGAAAACAGATTAGTGTTAATTTTGCAGCTCAGTGAATAGTTTTAATTTTAACATCTTCGACATTTCAGTGTGGCGATTAGTCTTGGCTGCTTTGTGTCGTTTTCCGCATTCCAAAACTATGACAATATGTACATCATAATGTTAGTAAAAAATGATCTTCTACAGAGTTAAAAAAAAGCAAAGGTTACTTACTTTACATACTTCAATTAAACAACATTACAAATATTATTATTCTAGAGTAAACTGGGCATAAATGTCAATGAGGAATATCTTTCACACCTCCGATTTGCGGACGATATCGTTATGGCAGAGTCGCTGGAGGATCTTAGCTGTGTGTTGGGTGAGCTCAATGCCGCGTCGCGACGTGTTGGTCTGGGAATGAATCTGGACAAAACTAAGGTTATGTTCTCAACGACAATATCATTCCCGGACCGGTAGTAGTCGAATCCGCGGTACTTGAAGTTTCGTCTGAATACACCTATCTATGCCAAACTGCTCACCTAAGCCGGGCCAACTTCGAGAAGGAAGCTGATAGGCGCATACAGTTGGATTGGACTGCGTATGGAAAACTCCGTCATATCTTGAACTCAGCAATCCCGCAATGCCTAAAAATAAAAGTCTTCAACGCTTGCGTGCTACCGGTCATGACATATGGCGCTGAAACATTGACATTGACCGTGGGTCTTGCCCGTTAATTCAAAGTCGCTCAGCACGCCATGGAGAAGGGTATAAACAGAGATAGGGTCAGAAATGAGGAAATCCTTCTAAGTACCAAAGTAACCGACATAGCCCTAAACATTAGCCAGCTGAAGTGGCAATGGGCCGGACATACGTGTCGCAGAACCTATGGCCGATAGAGCAAATGCGTTTTGGACTGGAAACCACGTACCGGTAAACCCAGCGTTGGGCGTTTCCCTGCGCGGTGGACCGACGACTCGCGGCGCTATGCAGGAGAAGATTGGATGCGGAAGGCGGAGAACCGTTCAGTGTGGCGGACTATGGGCGAAACCCACATCCAGCAGTGGAGAGATATAGGCGGATAAGATGACATGGCATTATTTGATCGCGCGTATAAATTATATACATCACAAATTAATTAGTGTTTATACGCGATTTTTTTAAAGTCATCATGATCCAAAGGATAGGTCACCTGGTGCATTATCGAGCGATGCAACGGTGTTCGAATCCCTCAGGCAGATGCCAATTTTTCCCAAAACATTCGGCCGAGAAATACTCGTAGTAATGCGTTTTATTTTGAAGGGTGGGCAGCCGTTCCACTTTAAAAACAGAGACCTTAGAACTCATGTCTCAAGGTGGGTGTCAGTATTTATGTCTATGAGCATGTCTTTGAGCTACAGTAACCACTTAACACCAGGTGGGCCGTGAGCTCGATTTTCCATCTAAGCAATAAAAAAAAGAAAATGCAGTTTATTCAATGTGAATCTTATTTTTTTATGGACAAACAAGGTTGTAAATCTCATCATGTTTGATTCCAAACGGACTTATAATAATTATAATATAATCTTACAGAAGATAGTTATTGTGTGTGTTTTTTAAAATGCACTTTTACCAAATGTTATTCACTTATAGAAACCACGTTAAAATTGAATTGTAAAAACCACAACGCATTAAACAAATATTTTTTTCTTAAAGAGATACAACATCTCACGTTAGCGGATTTCGTATTTTCCTTAAGCAGCCTTGGATTTTGTTGATTTAATTTTTTCGCAGATAACTTATAAAAGAAGTTATGAGATTAACATATATGTGATCTTAAGACTGGTTATTCTTGATGCATGCGTCATTTAATATGTCGGAACAAGTTGTTGTGTGACCGTTTTCCGAAATATTAACTTAGATACGTCAGTGGCCAGTATGATAAACTCCGTGGCTTTTTATTTATTCATTGCGTAGATGGGTGGACGACCCACCTGATGTTAAGTGGTTACCGGAGCCCATAGACATCTACATCGTAAATGCCGCCACCCATCATGAGAAATGAGTTGTAAGGTCTCACTTTTAACAGTACAACGGCTACCCGGCCCTTCAAACCGAAACGCATTACTGCTTCACGGCAGAAACAGGCAGGGCGGTGGTACCTACCCGTGCGAACTCACAAAACGTCCTACCACCAGTAAGTGACACCATTGGTGGATCCACCAGTAACTTAACTTCGTGGCTTTCTCAAAGTTTAGATTTCCTTCAAAAATGAGCTCGTTTCGATCCAATTGATGCTAAGTGATGATCGTAACGATATCAGGGGCACACAGCTGCAGAGCACCCATTTGTCAAAGCTCGTCTGAGAATTTACATGCACATTTTGTTCTTGTTCGGTAGACGAAGCTCACAGCCTACAATACTCTGAGATGTAATATAAAATCTTAGTCTCAGTTATATATGTATTTTATTGCTTAGATGGGTGGACGAGCTCACAGCCCACCTGGTGTTAAGTACTTACTGGAGGCCCATAGACATCTAGAACATAAATGCGCCACCCACCTTGAGATATAAGCTCTAAGGTCTCAAGTATAATAATAGCGGCTCCCCCACCCTTCAAACGAAACGCATTACTGCTTCACGGCAGAAATAGGCAGGACGGTGGTACCTACCCGCGCGGACTCACAAGAGGTCCTACCACCAGTGAACTATACTGTGTTAAACTCTTCAATCCGATGTGATGGCAATATGTAGCCGTGTTTCAAGGTGAGTAGGGGCATTCAGGTAATGATACGCTCTGCGAAGCACTGCTCTTGCTAGAGCCAGTGTTAGCAACTCTCCCGGTTTGAGTCCCGTGAGCTCACTTGCACGTTAGGGTGAAGCTGAAATAGCCTCTCAAGGCTATCAGCATTGGTAGAAATAAAAATGCATGATATGTATGACCTCCAGTAACCACTTAACACCAAAGCGGGCCATTAGTTCGTTCAAACATCAAAGCCGGATAAAAAGTAGGCGTCTATATAATTATCAATTACGATAATCATCAACCGACGTTTCTGTTGAAGCTGTGGTTTAATTAATACGTTTCACGATAACTATGAAAATATAAAATATAAAAGATGCGTCTGGTTCGTACGTTGGTCTTATCTATCTTCCTGTACGGGGTGGAGACTTGGTGTCTCAGGAAAAAGGAACGCAAAAAGATTGAGGCGTTTGAAATGTATTGCTGGAGAAAGCTGCTACGCATTCCTTGGACAGCTATGAGAACCAATGTCTCCATCCTCGAAGAGCTGAAGGTCACCAAGCGCCTGCTGACTATGTGCCAGGAAAGGATCCGGAGTTTCTTTGNTGGTGTCTCAGGAAAAAGGAACGCAAAAAGATTGAGGCGTTTGAAATGTATTGCTGGAGAAAGCTGCTACGCATTCCTTGGACAGCTATGAGAACCAATGTCTCCATCCTCGAAGAGCTGAAGGTCACCAAGCGCCTGCTGACTATGTGCCAGGAAAGGATCCGGAGTTTCTTTGGGCACATAATGCGATCCTCATTGCACAGCCTAGAGAAACTCACAACTCTCGGACAAATGGAGGAGAAGCGCGCTAGAGGAAGAGCGCCAGCTAGATGGGTTGACCAACTCAAGGAGGTGACTGGAGGCCAGATATGGGGAGCGGTACATATGGCGCAGAACCGGACCGAGTGGAGAAGATTGACATACAGTCACGATCCTCAGCATTGAGGGAACGACCAGAAAGATGAAAATATTTATCAGTCAAAGAAGAAAATGTTTGAAATTTTCGTTTAGGCAAATAAAAATTACTGTATCGAACACCAAGAATGTCTAAAAATGGTGACGTCAAAACTCGATATTAATATATATGTTATTCAATGCATGCGAAGGTATTTAAAAATAAACCATTATGAAGATTCTCAGTACGTATTTTAAATTTTGGCTTGTGCTACGAGTTTAACAATATTTTCCGTATATTTGTGTGATTTTAATTTTGATAAGTCACATGTCAACATATTATTTTTTTAATGGACTTTATGACCTGGTAATGAAGACGTTTAGGTCATGTCTTATTTTAATTAATATTCATATTTTTATGAAAAATTATAAGGAGTGGCAGTGATATGAAATGAAATGAAATGAAATGAAGATGATTCATTTGAGACATTAATCAACTGGGATGAAATTAAATGGAATGAGATGAGATGATATGGGATGAAATATAATCTCACTAAAATGGTGGTAAAATTTACTGAGATTTAACACAAGTTTTTTTTTATGTTTGAGAGATTACTGGTGGCCCGGAGGCCTTTCCAGTTTTACCAGGGCAGGTGGACGAGCAAGGGCTCAGCCAGGAGGGGTGGGTTTTGCTAACAGCTACCCTAGCGTCTCCAAAGGAAACCTAACAACTCAAGAGTAGTGAACACAAGTTGAGCCTCTCGTGATATATATTTTCATATTTCTCTACCTTATCTACAAAATTTTAAAATTGTGTTTCTGGCAAAACGCACATACTCAATCGATTCATGTCAATAGAGATGAAATTTTGAAATAATATTACTTGAGCGCGTGATTAGTTGGTGTTGTTCTGGTATATGAAAACGTTTATTTGAATAGAGCCTGTGACAGAGCAAGTGGGCTTTTTTGCCAATAGATGAAATAAAATACAATTTGCGATTGCCGCAATGCAATTTTCGATTTTTGTGTTAATAATAAAACACAAAAATCGAAAAAATATATAATATAGAAAATTTAAAAAATAATTTTATTAATTATAAAAATAATATCGAAAAAAATTTAATTTAAATATTTAAAATTGATTTAAGGCCTTCGCTTGTTTCCCTTTATAGAGAAAGTACAATTTGAACGACATCATGTCATCTAAGACGTCGGCGGCTCAATAATAATCTCACCTGTAATTTTTCATAATGGGAGCTTGAAGCTGCTGTAATATAACAAAAATTCTGTCCATTTTCCTCAGGGTCTGCGGGTGACAACGATACTTGGTGCGTTCGGTACCTGCGCCGGAGCATGGCTGAAGGTGTTCTCCGTGCCCCAAGACATGTTCTGGTTGGGCTTCGTGGGTCAGACGGTGGTGGCCATCTCGCAGGTGTTCATCCTAAACGTACCACCGCGGCTGGCGGCCGTGTGGTTTGGGGCCGATCAAGTGTCGTCCGCTTGCAGTATCGGCGTTTTCGGTAATCAGGTACGAAGGTCATATTATATATCTAAAGTTAAATAATCGTTAGCCTTTCCTGCTGCAGGGGGCAAAAGAGGGGACGCTGATGTTTTAGGGGGGCGATAATACGCGAAGCAGCGGTCCCTAAATGGTGTTTAATAAATTGATTTAGAGATCAGTGTGCTTAGTACGAGCTTTTTAACGTTCTCGATTGCGTAAAAGTTAGCTCATATTTGTATAGAATGGGATTGTTTGCCTACGTTTGCCGCTAGGGGCGCTGTTCCAACTGCATACAAAATTGGGATAACTTTTACGCTACCAAGAATGTTAAAAAACTCGCACTAAGCACACAGAAGATTTTTATATTTCTTTTTCTACCGATATGCTATTGTTCTATATTTTATATTTTCTACCGTTCACTCAAAATGTCAGTCAAAACTTTAATGTTTTATTATATTCTGTAGTATTGTCGTTATTACCAAAATCTTATTGAATAAGTACATATATATTTAATTTACTGTTTGATGTCTTCAAATAGTCTATGTGGTCAGTTAGTTTCCTGACTATTGCAATGCAGAGTCTTTTGACACCGATCGGAGTCAGTAGCCTTGTCGATATCCAAAGTTTGTTCCTCCAGTGTATCTACGTACATGCTTCTGCCTACCATGTCACTGGTCAAAGTTCTAATTTGAAGCTGCTTGGTGAACTGTTTGGTAAAAGATTTTGATAAACTTTTACAATAATATAGCTGATACATCAGAATAACACAGACTATAACATATAAAGATATTACGTCAATTATGCAAAATATAACGATAAGTGTCAAGTAAGTAGGAACAAAACTGCCATCTCATTTTCATAAACAATAATAAATTACAGTTCCCGAAGCGTAGTGTGGGCTGGTCGCTAGTTCAGTAATAAAATTAAATATTGGAAGTTTCAAATTTTACACTAACGCTTACACGACATTTTAAAGGCTTTTGTGACTTTCAGGAAACCAATACAGCGTTTTACGTTCTTAAATGCTTTTCTGTTTCCAACGAATAAAAGCTCTCGCATTCCCGAACGGAATATAACTTCGAAATCTCTTAAAGGACATTTCCTTGAGAAAGTTTGAGTACCTCGTTAATGGCTAGGTAAGTAGGCACTCAAAGAGATTTCCAGATGTTGCAATGTTCAAGAATTTTCAAGTCACAACTTGAATCGGAACTTTTGGGAAAGCACGTGGAACCGCAGGGCCACCCTTTATTAAATATTTGTATAGTCCTCATATTATTTCTGCCGTGAAGCAATAATGCGTTTCGGTTTGAAGGGTCGGGCAGCCATTGTACTGTGAAAACTGAAACTTAGACTAATGTCTCAAGGTTTGTGGCGCCATTTATCTATCTATATCTATGGGCTCCGATAACCACTTCATATTGGCTGTGTCATCACTGATCTAGGCATAAAAAAATGGTGCAGCCCGCTGGTTTTAATATTTAATACACTTACCACACTTCGTGCAACACAAAGTTGAAGCTTAGACATGTCTGGAAGTGGGTAGTGGCATTGTGATGTCTATGGGCTATGGTCTGGTAGCTACTACTTCTTGAGCGCTATGGCATGTCCTACTTCAAACGAGGGTTGTGGAGAGTATTAAACGCTAGGTTTTTACTGTTGGTAGGATCTCTTGTGAGTCCGGTAACCACTTAACACCAGGTGGGCTGTGAGCTTCGTCTACCAATACAAGCAATAAAAAAAAATCAGCGGCTTGACTCTGTCTCTGGTGTTGTTGAAGTCCATGGGCGACGGTAACCACTCATCATCAGGCGGGCCGTATGCTTGCCTGCTTACAGGGGCAATAAAAAAAGTTACTTAGTCTACAAGAGTGTGACATTTAACATTTATAAATTAGATTTGAACTTCACACTCTGAAATATTTAATTCCCCCAAAATTTTGAATAATTTGTGGCCTGCCTTCCTTGTGATAAGACGGATAAATATTTTTCGCGTCAGGAAAAGGGACCACATTCCCGGCTTTGTGTGTGTTATAAACGGCAACCCTCGTAATGGAATTTTCGTTTGGTGAGAATTAATTTTGCATGTCATATAATTAATAACGGGCAGACAAAGAATTTTAAGAATAGCACAAAAATGTTTAGTTTGTCACCAATCTTTTACTTAGTGTCTCGCCTATATTCGTCGTAAAGCAATTATTTCATAGCAACATACTTATCAAAATTGAAAGTTAAGTATGACGGTTAAAATTACACCAACTAGACAGTCCAGCTGATGTAATATGAAACTCTTGGATAATAAAAATCTTATGATAAAACAGACCATCTATATATTAATACGTGAAGCAAAAACTTTGTAACCCTTTTGACGAAAATTGCGCCGACAGAGGAGTATGAAATTTCCCACCCTTATAGAGAATATAGAGAAGGAGTGCAGAAGGCTAATATTTTTTTTAATTGTGTGTAAAAATATATTAAATCAATAAAATAAACATGACACACACTACCATATATTTGACACACAAACATATACACACGCATATATACTGTTTTGTTTATTCTCAAACTTTAGTTATTGCGTAAAGTCTGTGGTCAAATATAAAATAGATTAATATTATTTGTCTATAGTGTAGTCTTTGCCAAATCTGTGATTATACTGGTTTTTACTGGTGGTAGGACCTCTTGTGAGTCCGCACGAGTAGGTACCACCGCCCCGCCTATTTCTGCCGTGAAGCAGTAATGCGTTTCGGTTTGAAGGGTGGGGCAGCCGTTGTAACTATACTGAGACCTTAGAACTTATATCTCAAGGTGGGTGGCGCATTTACATTGTAGATGTCGATGGGCTCCAGTAACCACTTAACACCAGGTGGGATGTGAGATCGTCCACCCATCTAAACAATAAAAAAAACAAAAAAATTATAGAAGTAAAGTCTTTGACAATAGAATCATAATAATGTTGAAACTCATAATTTCAATTACTTAATTAAAGTCGAATTTCGACTACTAGGGGACCACTACTTTTAACAAAGACGTAAAACGCAATGAGCCTGTAGATACGAATCACGTTATTTGCGCTCCACATTTACTGCACATGGAACCGTTTATCCAATTTGCGTCGAGGACTGCGAGGGGTCCCGGTATCAATCCCGACGGCACATTATAATCGAATGAAACAAGTCCGTATTAGTCAATCGGTGTTTATACGTAAGTATATTCTAGAGCTGCCTTGTCGTAGTATATGTACGTTGCATTCAGCCCACTGAGTTTCTCGCCGGATCTTCTCAGTGGGTCGCGTTTCCGATCCGGTGGTAGATTCTGCGAAGCACTGCTCTTGCTAGGGTTAGTGTTAGCAACGTTAGCAACGTTGTCATGTTTGAGCCCCGTGAACTCACTTACTTGTTAGGGTTACGCTGAAATGGCTTCTCAAGGCCATCAGCTTAGGTAGAAAAAAAACTAGAGAGAGAGTAAAAATATACTAAACTGTTTGCTACGGTGACTAAGTTGTCGCTGTAGTCTTAATATTTCTGCATAATAACCAATGCAACTAATTTAAAAGAAAGGTCAGTCGTGGTTACAACAAAATTGAAGTTTCGTCTTAACATTTCATTGCCGCCATGAGTCTATCTCTTTACTAACGTCAATAATTTATTTTCTGCGTCATCATCATTACCTCTAGATGGGCTTATAGAGTTTATTTTATATAGAAAAAATATTATACCTACATTTTCAAACTGTGTTGTGCAATTTTTTTTGCTATATTTATTTTTAAATTAAAGTTCGTGATATTGCGTTTTTTTGTGTCGATTACTATTTATTTTTCTTTTATAACTGACTACTTTTTGTGGTTACTTATCCGTTTTTATATATCGATTTACTTAACACTATAATAATATCTATATAATAATTTTCGAAGGTTACACGATTACTGGCAATATTTACATTTAGATTCTTCTAGAACAGTGGATATTGACGAGATATAATACTATACATATTCTACGCGATTTATGTTTTTTTTTATTAGATACATACTAAAAATTTTTTTCATTTACTGTCTGTCATACGATATTTAGTCGACGATAGACCATTATCGTAGCGGATCGTGTAAAATCTATAAAAATTTAATTTTGCGTTATCTCTAAATTGGTAGCATATTGTGTGCACGCACGGGTGCTCAGGTCCTTCCTATTTGTGCCGCGAAGTTATAGGTTTTGATTTGATTCGGTATCAATCGCTAATGCAATCGAATTAAAGAGTAAAAAATAACTGTTTTACATCGCACCACTGTGTTACTGCACAAGTCTAAGGAGTCTGATAGCATAGAGTTTATTTCTGTGATTTTTTAAATTGCATATACCCCACGGCCCACGTAATTCCAAGTGTCGATCGTCACAAAACCTTTGTTATTCCAATGCCATTCGTCGTCACAATGATTTGATAATTCACCAGACGTTCGCAATATTTGTAGTGTGATAATAACATGACCCTTGGAAACGTACAATTCCTGATTAACAGTCATAAACGTTGTTATCACAAGAGATTTTTAGATGAAAAACTCTTAACAGCACTAATAACATGATATTATCGAGATAAGTAAGAGCTCTTTGTGAAAACACTGATTCTGTTTTGACCTAGTTTACGGCGAATTGAATTACTGTGATAGCTACTCGGGATTCCACGAGGCGTAGAAAAAGTCTAACGCGATGACGAAAACCAGGATGTTTTCGAGATATCTGTATATTAATACGTGAAGCAAAAACTTTGTATCTTTGTATTTAAGGAGGAGTATGAAATTTTCCACACTTAAGAGAATATAGAGAAGAGTGCACAATGCTAATTTTTTTTTTAATTATGCATAAAAGATACATTGAATCAATAAAGAAAACATTACACACACTACCATGTATTTGACATACACACATAATAATAATATACTCTCTGTTTATTGTCAAACTTTTGTCATTGCTTAAAGTCTGTTGTCAAATTGAGAATAGGTTAGTATTGTTTATCTTTAATATTACTAGTATTTGTCTATAGTGTAGTCTTGGCGAAATCTGTGGCAATAGGACCATAATAATGTTGAAACTTATAATTTCAGTTAATTATAGTCGAATTTCGACTACTGCGGGACCACTAGTTTGAGTAAGTGCGAGATAGGCCGCGGCGACTGAAGTCATGAAGCCTTTCGGAATTTGGGTTTGAGTCTTGGGACAGTCATTTACGAGACTTGAACCTCATGTCTTAAGCTGGGCGACAACTAGACATTTCGTGCTCACCCCATGTCACATTTTCGCCATTTTGTAGGTTCTGTCAGGTGCCTTGTATTGAGTAAATTGCAAAAATCCGATAACTATTTGGAAATAAACACTAAAGCAAAAAATTAGGATTTTTCGATGCTAAATATAAAAAAAAAATATTCCAAACTCGAACACTAATATAGAGTCACTAACCGCCAAACTCAGATTATTGTAAAATTCGTTCTTATCGAGCACTTACTTAACGGAAAATCTGTCTATAAGCTAAATATGTCTATTTGAACGAATACTTCCCCTATGATTGTTCAATGGTATCATAAAAATTATTTACAATATATAAATGTATTGTGCACGCGACGGCTTAATTTATATCTTGGCTCGTTTGCATTTATTGGCGAATAAAAAAACCTCCATTGTGTTGTTGATAGAGATATGTTTACATACGTTGAATTATAAGTCTGTAGCAACACAGATGGACACGGTACGGTGATCCAGCTAATGCGGAGATTAAGATAATAGGATTGGATGAGGCTATTTCGTTTCAGATTACATACAGCATTTTTATTCTCTAAATCATTGAATCAGAGATAAGGGGACTAGAAGTACTGAAATAAAAAATGGCGCGCGTGCAATTTGGTGTACGTGAATGTAGTGAAACTTTTTTGCGGTAGTATTGTGGTTTTTATTTATTACTTAGGTGGGTGGATGAGCTCACAGCCCACCTGGTGTTAAGTGGTTACTGGAGCCCATTGACATCTGCAAGGTAAATACGCCACCCACCTTAAGATATAAGTTTTAAGGTCTCAGTATAGTTACAACGGCTGCCCCCCACATCAAACCGAAACGCATTACTGCTTCACAGCAAAAATAGGCAGGACGATGGTACCTACACGCGCGGACTCACAAGAGGTCCTACCACCAGTAATTACGCAAATTGTAATTTTGCGGGTTTGATTTTTATTACACGATATTATTCCGTCACCGTGGAAGTCAATCGTGGACATTTGTTGAGTACGTATTTCATTAGAAAAATTGTTACTTGCCTGGAATTCGAACACCGGTGCCTTGCTAAACACGAATGCACCGGACGTCTTATCCTTTAGACCACGACGACTTTATTCATTTTTCATCCTTAAATCAAATTTCTCTTGTAATAGGGAATACTGTGTATAGAATAAACGACCTAGCTCACTTCGTCCTTTCACTCTCTCCACGGTCGAGTAGTTCGCGAAAAGCTGTCTATTTTCTCATTCTCACTCTTCTTAAATAATATCTTTTCCCTCTAGCCGTAACGAATCTGTCGCGAGTGAAATTTTACTCTCAACGCGCCTAAAGTTCAATAGCCGAGATGGTTGTAGATGGGTATTAAAATGATTTTTCCTCTATTGCGACTATTATTTATACTACAAGCAAGACTTTTTTATACTCTCTCTCTAGTTTTATTTACTACTTCCATTTTCTCGTCACTCCGTTGTATTTATTTAAATCTCTCCTATTTATTATCTTTAAGACCGGTAGTAGGGTTTCTGATTTATTTTTGTTTTCTAATCCTGTAGCAGAGTAGCTCGTTGGTCAGTCAGTACAGATCCGAGTAAGATAAACTCGCCAACAAATTTTACGTCTGAGAGTTCGACCGTGCTAATGAGTTAACTGGCCCTGTCGATTAGCATGACATAGCTCACAAAGGCTCACAGACGTCACGACTTGAATGCTGTAACTCAGCTCGAGGCACGAGGTCAAATTCACATTCGGCACCATATTCTACATTCCGCTTAAGTAGTTATTTCCTAACCTTGTCTTCCTTCCTTCCCCCTCTTTCCCATAAGTTCCTATTTGTGATTTGTATGACCAAAGATCAGTATTCGAAATACAGCGTTTATGTCTTGCATTAGATCGGATAGTTTTATGCCAACTCACCCATTATCCTACTAATGGCAAATAGGAGATGTTGGTAAGACCTCTTGTGAGTGCGCGCGGGTAGGTACCACCACCCTGCATATTTCTGCCGCGAAGCAGTAATACGTTTCGGTTTGAAGGGTGGGGCAGCCGTTGTAACTATAGTTGAGACCTTAGAACTTATATCTCAAGGTGGGTGGCTCATTGACGCTGTAGATGTCTATCGGCTCCAATAACCACATAACACCAGGTGGGCTGTTAGCTCGTCTACCCATCGTAGCAAAAAAAAACCTACATTAGCAATATCATTGTTACAGTTAGGCGTTGCTCTCGGATTTTTGCTGCCTCCGATGCTGGTCAAATCGACCGGTACTATGGAAGAGATCGGTCATGATTTCCAGCTCATGTTCTACCTGGTCGCCGGCTTCACCAGCGTCCTTTTCGTCTTCATACTGCTATGTAAGCCAGCCTTTTATTGTACTTTGGTTTCTTTACAGGTATTTTAGGGATCACAGCGGCACATCAGCGACCAAATGCCACATTTTCATGCAATTAATAATCTAACAAGAGATTAATAAAACTGTAAACCTTAACTAATCGGGACCATACCTCATGAAACGTGCATAGATTTCATGAAAAACCACCAACTTCTCATGAAATTGCTGGCCTAAAGTAATGTCTCACCACTAAAGTCTTATTGTCAGTTCGCTTATGTTTAGGGCCGTAGGTGAATCAATTTAGATGTGCTTGATGTTTAAGAATACATTCCATTTCATTTGTGTCTGCAAATGGATAAGTAGATTTAGAGGCACATAGCGACTAGGATATACCGCTACAGCATGGCTAATATGAACAGCAGTGACCACTCATAGAGGCAGTTAAACATTTATCGTATTTCCAGTCTTCAAAGCGGCACCGCCAACCCCGCCATCAGCGGCTGCTGATCTTGGCTCAACTATCGATTCTAACTTCTTGCAATCGATCAAGACGCTACTAATGAACAGAAACTACGTGTTGCTGCTTATCTCGTATGGCCTGAACGTCGGTACATTCTATGCTATCTCGACTCTGCTCAATCGAGTCATCCTGACTTATTATCCGGTGAGTTTATGATTGTTACTTTAAATTTAAAACGGTTTTACTGTAGGGTAATTTCCGAGAAATTTGCAGATTTTGTGGAATATGAAGTCAAACGTTTATGTGGGAGGAACATTAGGAAAGTCAAAGGCTTATGTGGGAGAGTAACAGCAGTATTTCTTACCTATCTTTGCCGTTAATCGGTGATGCATTCCGGCTTCAAAGGTGGGAGAGCCGTTATATTATAGCATTGAGACTTTGATCTCATGTTTCAAGGAAGGTGTGGGTATTCACGTAGTAATGTCGGGAGGCCGTGAGATCATACACCCTTGAAAAGCAATAAAAACTCTAAAGCTTATTTTTCTCAGAAGTGTTGGTGCAATTTGTTAAAGTTGATAAAGGTTCAGAAATTAATTTTAATTCACTTGGAATAAACCTTTCACGTTTATAAAATACAGTCCGGATTTTAATTAGTCGAATATTGACATATTATATGTGTTTGTATTTTGGAACAAATTTCAGGGCGCTAGTGAAGACGCTGGACGAATTGGGCTGGTAATCGTGGTCGCGGGTATGGCCGGCTCCGTCGTTTGTGGTCTGATCCTCGACAAGACGCATCGGTTCAAGGAGACAACCCTGGCGGTTTACACGTCCTCTGTCATCGGCATGATCATATTTACCTTCACATTGGATTGCGGATTGATCGGCGTGGTTTACTTGAGCAGCATAATACTTGGGTGAGAAGGACTCCGGTTTTAAGAGTGTCATTGGTCCTATGTTCTTTTTTTTTATTGCGTAGATTGGTGGACGAGCTCACAGCCAACACATTACTGCTTTACGGCAGAAACAGGCAGGGCGGTGGTACCTACCCGTGCGGACTCACAAGAGGTCCCACCACCAATAATTACGCAAATTATAATTTTGCGGGTTTGATTACACGATGTTATTCCTTCACCGTGAAGTCTTCCTGGTGTACTCATATTGATGAGCCGTGGATAATCCTGAGACCGGTTTTAATGAATTGAACGTCTATATTCTCGCAGTAGGTCTGAAAAGTTAATAGGCTAATTAACTACGAGCCCAAAGAAAAAGCAAATGTTAAAGATACTTGTTTTAGGGTTCTTAAAATGCGCTGACGTTAATATTTTTACCCTATAATTATTATAGTATTTTGAACAGATTAGATTATGTACTCAGAACAAGATGTGTTCTTTTAGTACGTAATTAAATGTGGAGTATTTATTTTTTCGTTGTTTCAGATTCTTCATGACCGGCTACTTGCCTGTTGGCTTCGAGTTCGCTTCCGAAGTGACGTATCCTGAACCAGAAGGGACTACCTCCGGAATACTGAACGCTGTTGTACAGGTAATTAATATATTGTTACGCGCTGGGGTTTGGGATAAATGAAACTTCCACCGAAAAGTAGGTACAAATTAAAACTCTATTTAACACTTAGAACGCTTACAGCACATTACCATTCTTAAGTCACTTCTTCCGCTTCGCTTCAGGGATCAGTTCGCTGTTTCGCTTCGAGTAGATCCGATTACTAACTGCCTTCGTGTCCCCTTTGCAATGCTTTTCTAGTCGACACGGCAATTCTACAATTATCAGTCACTGAGTTTCTCGCCGGATCTTTTCAGTGGGTCGCGTTTCCGACCCGGTGGTAGATTATGTGAAACACCGCTCTTGGCCAGTTGCTCTAGGGCCAGTGTAAGCAACACTCCGGTTTGAGCCCCAAAAGCTCACCTACTAGTTAAGGTTACGCTGAAATAGCCTCTCAAGACTATCAGCTTAGGTAGGAAAAAAACATACCTACAATTATCGAAAACATTCCCGAAAGGCCGAGTCGTTTCGGAATGTGTTTCCGTTATTTCATAATAAATGGCGTTACACTTCTCGAGTGTTCTCGATATTACTAGTTCTATTGATATTCGTTTCTGCTATTCCACGATAGATAGCGTTACTCTTACCGACGTAACTATAGCATTGAATGGATTCTTTTAATAGCACGGCGCCGCGGTGTCAGGTTGTTCGGGAACATTAGTCTTATTTTAGTGTATATTTGTCCAGGTGTTCGGCATACTGACGACGCTGCTGTACGGCTGGATGCTGGACGAGGTCGGCGACCGCTGGGCCAACCTCACGCTGTGCGCGCTGCTGGCGCTCGGCGCCGCCGTCACCGCCGCCATCCGCTCCGACCTGCGGCGCCAGGCGGCACAGAACAAGGCCTGAACGAGGCCCCCACGTGCGATCAAACGCGATCTGTTTTAAGCGCCATTTTGGAACGCAAGTCAATAATTTCGTTATTAAATTTCCTTGAAAGACGAGACCTAAGGCATATATTGCTTTCAACTAAAGAGGTTGGCTCATGGGGCCTACAGACAACCTTAAAATCAATTGCGATTGCGACAGTGGTGGGGAGGACCCTAAGGCTCCCCGCGCACTAGGAAACCTGGCTGCGGCAACCGTAATATTTGAGCAGCCAGTCATATTAGCCAATCGACGCCAATTTATGATCTTTTCGTCGAGCGATTCGGATTTTATCTCGTAAAAAACGCAAAGCAAAGAAAATACACTGGATTCATTCTCTTTTTTTCCAAAACAACATTCAAAAGGCTTATTCTATAACTATTTTAAATATGTTCATACATATCCAAACCGGTATTTTTTTAAATACAAGAGATTGTACAAGCATACTGTGTCATACCTATGACTAACATTTGGCAAACAAATATGCATTGGCTGCTACAGCAAGTGCGCGGGGACTGACGGCAGCCACTTACATTCGCCGACACTCGCTCTGGCTGCGCGCGGCCAAGAGTTCCGGGCTGCTTATGTGCACTGGCTCCCATACAACGCCATATATTCATCTGGCTGCCGTAACCAGGCTGCCTAGTGCGCGGCGAGTCTAAATCACCTCGTGTATAGGCAAATCGTAACCCGATTTTTATTATTTACCCTAAACTCGCTTCGGACGAGCTCACGATTTAGGGACGATTATCCCCACCACCGCTGTCCCGATATCGCCACTGATTTTATGGTCGTATGTAGACCGCTTAAGATAACGGTTATATTGATACGCTTCACGTTTGGAATAATTTAAAAAGAATATTACAGATACCTTAAATTATAACCTCGAAAAGTATTTTGGCCCAAATTGGTTATTTGTAATTTCTGAACTGCAAAGGGTTACACTGTTAATATACTAAATGACGCTGAAAACAAATAAGCTTTCGCCTGTTAATATTATGATCACCCTACCTATACGAGGGAACCTAAGCAGTATTCTAGTTTGTTCTTCGATCGTAATGTTGCCTGTTGTGAAAAATGAACTAGGCATTTAGTGATATTAATATAGCTTCGTCAACAGACAGAGTTCTTATATTCTTCTGTGATGTACCATGCCGTGGTGACGACACGGACACTGTAGGCCCAATAGAACATAATATGTATAAAAAAGTTTGGAGACATTTTAATGAAACGATTTCATAATTATTACAAGTTTTACTTGAAATATTCCCTTGAAAAGCCTTGTAGGTTAATAAGGTTGATGTTTGCCTACGTATGCCGCTAGGGGCGCTGTTCCAACAGCATACAAATTCGAGTTAACTTTTACGCTATCGAGAACGTTAAAAAACTCGCACTAAGCAGACAGACGTTCTGGTTAAGAAGCGGGATTGATTATTATTGGTTTTAACCATCCGCGCACCAACACGCAAAACGTTTCTCCGGAAGAAATAATAATATTATATTTAAAACAAAATCAGAGAAATACTTTTTACTGGTGGTAGGACCTCTTGTGAGTTCGCACGGGTAGGTACCACCGCCCTGCCTGTTTCTGCCGTGAAGCAGTAATGCGTTTCGGTTTGAAGGGTGGGGCAGCCGTTGTAACTATAATTGAGACCTTAGAACTTATATCTCAAGGTGGGTGGCGCATTTACGTCGTAGATGTCTATGGGCTCCAGTAACCACTTAACACCAGGTGGGCTGTGAGCTCGTCCAGCCATCTAGCAATAAAAATAAAAAAAATATCAAACCATTTCTTTAGTGTACTGCAAGCCCTCAATATTATCAAACATCTAACTTGTTTCATTTTGAAATAAATATTGAATATTACGTCATTGGCAAAAAGTCAACGCTATTGCCAAAAGAAGAAGAAAAAAAATATATTGAATACAAAATGAATACAAATAGTGAATTCAAAGAAAATCATTACTAACTGAACAGCATAGTATGAACAATAATATTTGTTAATTAAAATGTCTTCTGAACTTCAAGATCCTATAAATTATACGACATACCTATAATTATTCTAGTTACAAATAGGCCTATGAAGCCTGTGTATTAACTTATTGTATTGAATCTACGATACGTCTTGAATGTTATAGATATACGAGTAATATTTATAGTATTAAATAAATAAATAAAAAAAACGAAACTTCAGAGGTGTCAAGGGACACCCGGATGGAACGAAGTTCCTTTCGATTAATTAGTGAAGGAATAGTAAATTTTTTTTTAAGTTATGATAATAAATTACGGCATTATGAAGAAGAAAAAAACAATACTATGAACTAAATTACTATTGTTGAAACGCCATCTCGAGAAACTGTACTCATTACGCGGACCAATCGGATACGAGCAATGTCACGCGATAAGCGCCTACACGTTGATTGGTCAGAATGACGTATCTAAAAAGTGTCGTGACAACTTTTCGTAAGAATTTTTTCCGTCTAGCCCCTTTTCACAACGCGCGATAAGGAACTTCGTTCCAAAAAACCCAAAGTGCAACTGTGACAATAAAACGTGTGACTTTAGATGTATGAAGATATTTTGAGATAGATGTTTACTTAGAACGTAGAACGGTCGTAAAGTAATTTAGCAGCTATGAGTATTTATGATTATTGAGCATTATCAAAACTTTCGCGTTACCAAACCGACACCGGCCCGAACATGTTAACTGGTAGTTGGACGTCTTGTGAGTCCGCACGGGTAGGTACCACCACCCCACCTATTTCTGCCGTGAAGCAGTTATACGTTTCGGTTTGAAGGGCGGGGCAGCCGTTGTACTGTAAACAACTGAGACCTTAGAACTCATATCTCAATGTGGTTGGCGGCATTTGCGTTGTAGACGTCTATGGGCTCCGGTAGCAATTTAAGACCACAATGGACCGTGAGCTCATACACCCGTTTAAGCAATAAATAAGTAAAAATGTCTGCGTGTATACGAACAAAAACTGACATTTGAGACGAAACTATACGATTTCATATGAGTCGACTATTATCAAAGCCGGCAATCTGACTTTTGGACAATGATTGGTAAATCAGAAAAACGAATTATTGACTTTGTATTCCATTGGCAGTCACAAAACTCTTCGGAACGACATCTTAGATAAATAACAGGTTAACTATTAACCTTTATTTAATGCAGGTTTTGAACCGTATTCTTTGAAGGAGACGATTATANTTGTATTCCATTGGCAGTCACAAAACTCTTCGGAACGACATCTTAGATAAATAACAGGTTAACTATTAACCTTTATTTAATGCAGGTTTTGAACCGTATTCTTTGAAGGAGACGATTATATTCAAATCAATCTGTATTGACATATCAATAATTTTTTTTTGTCCAAATGCACAGATTGCCACCTTTGATAATAGACGACTCATATGAGAAATCAGATTTTTTTCTACGGAGCCCCGAAGAAGTACCTACATTTAGTTTGAAATGGAAACGTTTGTTAATATTATAAAGTATTTGTTCTAAATAAAAGATTCATAAGGAATTTTTGGAAAACATTCCAGTACCTAATAGTTTAACAGTTATAGGTAGGTACCCAATGGTGGCTTTACCAATGTCTTTTCTCATTTGCATCAATGGCTGTGATCATTTGGTATTGATAAATGAAGCCGCCAACTTATTCGCTAGCGTGGTAAGTACCTGCCTAACTTAATGAGTGCTATTTGCTTAGTCAAATAGTTTATTAATGTAGGCTCATAGTGCACAGGGAATAGGATCATAAAGCCGAGACGCTTTTAAATTAAAATAACTCTAAGCAAAGCAAAAGTAGCTGGATGACGCACCTCCGCGACAGTTCCGTGAGGTCGTCGACCCCACGCAACGGCTGATCTCTAGTTGTAATACACTGCGTGCAATTCAAATTTAGTTATTTCAATATTTTTTTTATTCATTCCCCGTTTTTATGTATCCTTTCGTGTTTCATTTCCTGGAATTAATTACACATGCTATTCCAGCAATTTTTGTATTTATAAATATTGTTTTTTTTAGAATTAACAGGCTTAGATGTAAGTTTCATAGAAATGTATGTAACCTTAAAGGTTCCTTAGTTTTTTTTCGTATGAGTACCTATTTGTGTGTTCCTTTTTGTTGTGCATTTAGCAATCGACTGTTGCGACAGAACTTTGTAACAAAGGGGAATGCCCACTCTCCATAGTGTGCTAGGCCCAAGGTGGACATCAAATATTACTATAAAAATGGACTGATTCAAATTCTTAAATGTATTGGATATCTAAAAAATATATTGAAATTGACGCCACTATTATAAAAAATATAATAAAAATAAAAATTCGTTTTGAGGTTAATTTTCTGTATAAATAAGTGTCGGATTGTGAGATACTTCAAGAACTTTTCTTTTCTTAATGTTTAAGATGTTCCTAATGTATTTTTATCCAATAGGGTATAAAAAACACACTTAATTCTTTAAATATCTATATTTTCTTCATCTTCATACACAATTAGTATCATCTAAAAATAGCAAAGGAGAGCATATACACGGTTTTAAATCTCGGTCAGGGTAAAACCACAATTCACACAATGTTTTTTAGTCGTAGTATGAAACGTTATTGATAAAAGTAAAATAAATCGAAGAAAAATCAAAACACATCCATTTTGTACGCAAGCACAACACCACAAGCAGCAAGCGAAGTGTCAGTCAGTCAGATTAAATTCAGTGTTGTCAGTATAAAGAAAAATAATTACATGAAATTCATATATCGATTATTTTTTTAAATAACCGATAATTGATTTATATCTTAATCTTTTTTTTACGAGTACACATTATTTTTTATGTTTTTGTTTTAGTTGTACATATTTAAATAACAATACTAGTAAAGTTTTTTTTATTGCTTAGATGGGTGGGCGAGCTCACAGCCACCCTGGTGTTGCTAAGTGGTTACTCGAGCCCACATACATCTACAACGTAAATGCGCCACCCACCTTGAGATATAAGTTCTAAGGTCTCAAGTATAGTTACAAGTTAAAGTCCAATGGGTATGTCTTCGATGTTATTTTATATGCATAAAATCCATTAAAATCGATTGATTAATGATAATACTTAAAATGATTTATTTATATGTTTTATTTATATACTCAAAATATTTACTTCATACGTAAAAGGATTTGAAGCTGGCAATATTTTTCCCGCAAAAACAAAAAACCTTATTTTTTCAATAGAGTTACTTTTTTTAAACTACTTATTATAAACTGTAGTGGCGCTTATTTGCAAGAAAGTAAATGCATATTTATTTATGACAGAATTAATGCACTAAGTATTTTTTCTCTAATCTATTGTCCGCTTTGGGCCTGAAATGGGCCGTCCCCTTTCAGAGGCTATATGTTTGAAATTTGAAAATATAAAATGAATGCTATAAAAACTCAGTAATGTATCTATAGCCTTATTTATTTAATTTCTAATAACATATATGTATACTTAATTTAGCTAAGGAATATATTGTTGTATTTCCGATGGAATGTATTCGATTCTAAATGCTTAAGCATTCAAAGCGCAATCCCAAAATGGCTTATAGTAGAAACGGTTTTTTTTATTGTCCTTGTAGGCAGACGAGCACACGGCCCACCTGATGGTGAGTGGTTACCGTCGCCCATGGACTTCAGCAATACCAAGGCGACAGTAATCACTCAGTACCTATCTCCGTCTCTTACATTATTTTGTGCTAATAATTATTTTTCACGTAATCTCGTTAATTATAATTTTTTTCTTATGTATTTATCTCAAAATAACCGAAATTGTTACTTGTTTATTTTAATTAAAACCCAGTTATTATAAATAACATTAATACTAATCAACACCTTTTGAAAAATAATCAGTTTTAAAACAAAATATGTAATTATAAAAAAAATGGTTTTGAAAAATATGTTACATAAGTACATTTTCTGCTTTAGACTGTGATGTACCTACATAGTGAATATAATTTTCGCTTTATTACTTTAGCGGTTGTTACTAAAATTTGCATTGTCGTTGTTTTAAATCTGTTATACCATTGGCAGTCTTCGTGGAGACTTCAAGATCTTCACTATTATACCACTAGTTCACTAAATTTTATACGTAGGTAATAAAAAGAAGAGTGCTTGTATTTTTTGCGCAAAACAGGCATTTTCAACACAACGACGGTGTGTTCATTTTAATTTCATATATAATATTAAATTGAATAATGTGAAAAACTACTGTTTTTTTTGAATAGAGAGAGACTAGGTCAGCAAATAAGGTCACCGCGCATCATTCGTGTCACCATATTAAATTAGGTAGTTTGAAAGGCACCACTCACCCTTAGATAGTACTTCGCTCGATTGCAATAGACAAATGGCTATCTCTCTCTTTAGAGAGGCATGCATGATTGCGTCGTGACGGGAATAAAGCAAATGGAAGGGTCATAGACCATAGCTAATTTATCGATAACGATAGATTTACTAAATTCCTATTTAATCTTATAAAAAAAGCGGCTCGGTATTCACAACAAACGATAATATAAGTGGTGTTTTGTCACAACTATGTGTATAAGTAGAGAATATTCTTTTTAAATAGATATAATTTTAAGTTAAGTATCAAAACATACTTGAAAACCAAATTACCTAGCCATGCATTTCCTATTATAGGTATAAATACCTAAGGTAATGACTATCCCAAAAATAGTATTGCTTTATGTAGTCTAATAATTTACATTAATGTAATATTTTTGGAATCTTTTATCTACTAAGCAAATAGTTGACAGAAGAAAATAAAACCAGTCTGGTTTACTTAAAAACCAAACACAACTAGGCAAGCTGTATTCAAATATTTGTAATAATCTGAAAATAATGTTCTAAAAGATCATCTTACATGAAATTTAATTTATGCAACACAAGAATCTATCAGTTTATAATAGCATTAGAAGCAGAAGCTTTTTTAATTATAATTTTAGGTATACTATGATTATTAAGACATTCCAGTTTCTGGGTGCAAGTGTTAATGTAGCTATTTAACTTAATAAAATCGTTGTTGGTGAATAGTTTTTTTTTTCAAATTCCACAAATTTATGCAACGTTAAATTGTCGGGATTTATTGGGGATTTTCTTTTGCCTTTCAAATTCATGCATTTGAAGAACCCTGTCAAACTCAAACAACACCCTAGAGAAGTGAGTCTTTAGTGTATGGACGAAGGATACATTTTGCCTGTCAATCTGGTAAATGTTGTTTATTGGAATTTCCACGGTTACCATGGCGGCAATTTTGTAGATAATCGGGTTGATAGTGGGTGCATAATATTGTTGTCATAATGAAATGCGAATTGTTATCTGTATATTGTTTTAAAGTACATATATTATACGATGGAGAATTTAAAATACAGTTAAATAGCCAATAATGCTTTGTCTAATCCCATAATCCATTTGTCGGAATGTGTCATTTAAATGACCGCAAATAATTTCACAAGAATGATCTAAATTTTGTTCGATCGAAGAATAATTTTTCGTTTAAACGATGAATTGTAATAATACAGAGCAAAATGGACGAGATATCGTTTGTAAAACTCACACTTCGAGATCTGAGAGAGGTACATATTTATTATGACCAAGAAATTCTAATGATCAGATTTTTTTTTTTCTGTGATTGGTTAAATTTGGGAGGTAATAATTAAATTTGTTATCTTGATCAAACATATTTTAATTAGGGATTTTCATTTTTATTGAGCTACTATGTAGTGGTTTATAGCAACAACCTAACTTTAATATTAGTGCTATCTTAAAAGTAAAGTTGAAGTTGTAAAGTTCCATTCTTTTCAAGTTGGTCATAGAAAAACAATTACTAACATGTAAATTACATTTCCGAATAGAACTCTACAGAACATGCCCGACAAAGTTAAGTAAGCGAGAGTTGGAAGATCTTTACTTTGCCCTTCTCGACAATAACATGAGCTTGAAGAAAACTGTCAATGAACAGCGGGACACCATCAAAATATTGAACACAAAAGTTCAAAGGCTGTCAACAGCTCGAAAAAATATATATGGCAAGGAACAAAATGATTGTTGTCGGTCTGTTAAAGTGATGGTCAATGAGCAGAAGGAACTGTTAGTAATGTTCATTTAAGAAAATGTTATTAGAGCCCAATAATAATATAGAACTAAGAAGGAATGAGTACATTAACAGTATGAGGTTCAAAAATTCTAATATAATACTTTTCTCTATTATTTATTCAGTTTTGTTTATGAATTTATTAAACTATAGGAAAATGTTTGTACATAATTTATTAAAAGAAGTATTAATTGTTAGATATTAATTTCAAAATAATTTCCTCTACTACTTTTTATTCTTTAGCCAAGCAATGTTGCACTGTGTGATATTGAAATGATAAAATGGCTCTGCAGAACTGCTGGGAAATAATGAGTGTGCTATTACATCACTAATGGAATAATTATTCCAGAATCGTTGAGTTAAAAAGAGAAAATACCAAATTGTGTGAAAGGGTTCGCCTTTTAAACATGAGGCTGTGTTCAGCTAAACAGTTTACTAAGAGAAGTCCGCTACAAGCTCGCTGTACAAGATGTTCTGTGATTCCCACTAATTCTTTGAAGTGAGTTGTTTAACTGTAAACATCATGTTTCTATTGTTGCAGATTGAAATATGTGTTATAGCATACTACACATTAAGTGGCTACTGGAGCCGATAAACATCAGAATGTTTTATTTTTATTTTTGGGAAGAGCTCACGGCCCACCTAGTGTTAAGTTGGAGCCCAGCGACATTTACAACGTAAATGCCGCCACCCACCATGAGACATGAGTTCTAAGGACTCACTTTTAACAGTACAACGGCTGCTCCGCCCTTCAAACTGAAACGCATTACTGCTTCATGGCAAAAAGAGACATGGTGGTGGGACCTCCCTGTGGGAACTCACAAGACGTCCTTCCGCCAGTAAGAAGTTAAATCTACCCCACAATGGGAGCCATGGGGTTGATGTCTTAAATGAATTGTATAACCCTTTATACCAGAAATTTTTATTAATATTACCAGAAACATTAGTGTTAACGGCAGATGTGTACATAATTTAATCAGTTTTTATGAATTGTTGTGGTTTTAAATAAACTACACGATATTATTTCTTCGACATGGTAGCGAATTTTGAACACATTGGACAACATATTAGAAAACTTGAACGTAATGGTAGAAATACTATATTTTGTCAGTTACAGAAATGATTTTTTTTTTTTCAGAAATGCATCAACTAGTGCTTTGTGTCTAAAGATAAGTGATACAAATTTAAAATCTGCTGCCGTATCATGTATAAATATACCGAAGTAAGTAATTAATGGACATTATTTAGCATGAAAGTTACGCTTCATTCAAGTTATAAAGTTGAAAATTATTTAATTTAGTCGCTCATGTAATATCAAGAGGTTGCTGCCACTTATGGAGTACCGTTTACGATGTGACAATCAGACTCCACCTTTCCATCATTCCTAGTAGCTTTCTGTACTGTTTGCTTTGCTTATATATTTTTTTACTAATAAAGTTAGACCTAACTAGCCAAATGGTGCTTAGGGGATTCTGAAAATGAAAAAAAATATCAAAGTTTTTAGGTATTTCATTATCAGTTAATTAAGCAGATGAGCTTATTATTGTTTAATTTTTTTTCTAGTGAGTCAGCCCATTCCAACAGCACTGTGGATACCGAAGATGAGGTACCGGAAAAAGTGTAATGTTTATTTCATTATTTAACAGTAACCACAAACTTACCTACTGAGTTTCTTGCCGGATCTTCTCAGTGGGTCGCGTTTCTGATCCGGTGGTAGATTCTGCGAATCACTGCTCTTGCTAGGGTTCGTGTTAGCAACGTCGTCAGGTTTGAGCCCCGTGAGCTCACCACCTACTTGTTAAGGTTACGCTGAAATGGCCGCTCAAGGCCATCAGCTTAGGTAGGAAAAAAAATGTAGTCTATACCCTATTAAAATTTGGTGAGCCGGCATTGTAAAGCGAAAACGTTTTATGAAATTTTTGTTACATTGCGTGCAATTCAAACACGTTACCTAATGAAATTTAGCTGTGGTCGAAGTCGTATGCCTGGTGGAGTGGTCATTTTGATTGTGGCGACTATAGGCCGTCTATGAAAGGGGCGCTCGTGGATCCCAGGTCAGCGCTGCACACTATCTAATCATAGGGTGTAGGGTATCAAATCACAACATTTGTAATGTAACTTTGAAAAAAAAGAGCTAGATTTTTTTTTATTATTTTTCCATGGGTTATTGACGCGACCATACACCGGTACCGGCTTATCGTTGAATTTCGAGACACCCTGTATATAAAATCGATTTAGCGACAGTCGTTTTAAAGTTACATACTTTTACGTTTTATTCTAGTGACCGTCCGGAACAACAGTGCAACGACAATAGATGCCGGACGTTGATTGAAGAACTAAAGCAGAGAATCGTTCATTTGGATAAGGTATGCCAGTTTTGACGCAAGGTTACCGCCGCGACCTTATTAGGGGTCACCGCAACCCCGCTCCCTCCGTGATCCCTCCGCCGGGAACTTGACAGACTATTCGTTCTCTATTAATGTTAACTAAACCTACTTTTTAACTGATTTCGAAAATATCATTAAGCAGAGGCTTTTTTATAACGCGCATCAACAAAAAACCTGAGTTTATCTACACATAATTTTATAAAGCTGAAGGAGTTTGTTTGTTTGAACGCGCTAATCTCAGAAACTACTGGTCCGATTTGAAAAACTCTTTCAGTGTTGGATAACCCATTTATTGAGAACGGCTATAGGCTATATAACATCACGGTAAGAGCAATACAAGTGGAGCACCAATAAAGAATGTTTCAAAATAGAGGTTTAAATAGCTCCTAAATGAGGGGGGGGGGGGGTAAAATTTAGTGTTGTGTCAAAGTAACTATTTCACGCGGACGGAGTCGCGGGCGGAAGCTAGTTTGTTATAAATCCCTTGCGCACGTTTCCGTTTGCAGGAAGTATCCGCTGCACGCGAAGACTACGCGACGCGCATCAGCAGCTTGGAGACGGAGGGGCGGGGTGCGCGGGAGGAGGGCGCCCGCCTGCTGCAGGCCGCCTGCCGAGCCGCGGAGGCCCACAGCCGTCGGTCACGCTTTTACCTCATAGCTTTCATTGTACATAATACCTATATGTTATAAAGAAGACTTTGACCACATGTTCCAAAACCAGTCGGGTTAGTTAGTAAACGGTCGAAGGAACACTTGAACGGTCGGTTAGTTGTTTTGTCATCTATCTATCTATCTATATATATCAAAATTAATTGCTGTTTGTTAGTCTTGCTAAAACTCGAGAAGGGCTGGACCGATTTGGCTAATTTTTGTCTTGAATTATTTGTGGAAGGCTAGAGAAGGTTTAAAAGATAGATAAATATGAAAATGCTCGGAATTAAATAAAAAACAACAATTTTGTTTTTCGTTTAATAATAATAATAATCCACTGGAGTTGTCGCACACCACATCCACATCAGCTTAAAATTTACTACACGCAATAAAAACTAACATAATTATTGACTCATAACTAATGTATATTACTTGGCCAAAAGCCCGTATATACAGCTCCACCGGCTCTGTCGACAGACTGAACTGAGAAAGGGGAAACATATGAAAATAATAATTATTTATTTATTTCTCTCTTAAAGGTCTAGTACAAATACAAATGGAAATTAACCTTATAATTTATTTTGTAAGCCTATGAAAGAACTGAAGTCTGTACTAGGTTCAAAGACCTGTATTACTGATCTCCAGGGTCCCTCCTTCTTAAGATAGGTTAGGTTAAGTCGTGAACAGATGCTGCGGACTAGTGTTGAGAGATCATTAGGTGTTATCATTTAAGGTCATTATGCGTGTGTGTGCGTGTGTGTATTTGTGTGTGTGTGAGTGTGCGTATATGTGGGCGTGTGCGCGCATATATGTTGTATTGTGTATGTGTGAGTATCTGCATCTATGCGTGTTTATTATTACTATTACATAGGTATAAATAATTAATTGATTAATTGGGTTCAAAAACAAAAAAGCAGATTACTTCACAGACTGGAGTAAGTTCTCTGTTTGCTCGTAATCTAGGTCGTGAAGCCAATTTGTTAGTGCATGTTTGCATTGGGTCTGTGTCATGGGGTATATTATATTAATCAGCTTATTGATTTTATTGTATATGAAGCTACTTAGGAAGCCATAGAAGCGTTGAGCTAACGATGTAGAAACAAGTATTGTGGGATGTGTATGATTTAAGTTTATTTTATACAAAAGTTGAGATCCTTTATTTATCGATTGAGGCACTACGAAGTCTACCGGGTCAGCTTTCAATGTGCTCGGTTACCCTAGGCGAGCTGGCGTTGCAGCTGTCGGTAGAGAGGAGGAAGGTCGCCGAGCTGGAGACTCGCGTGCGGGCCGCCCGCCGCGCCGGCCAGCTCGCCGACTGCATACAGGACCACCTGGCCACCATCTATGTGAGTTCCTGTTGGAGTATGTCGTCTGGGTTCTGGATGAAAAGACGGAGATTTCAATGATTTTTATTTGCAAGAGCGATACACATTTCGGGTCAGTGGTCATAGGCAAAGAGAGATTAGCGAGTGACAGCTATCAGTTGATATGACATCACTAGGATGCGTTTAGTAATTATACAATTCTAACGGTTCCTACCAGCAGGGCGTAGGTGTGTGACTGATACAGTGTGTGTAACTAAATGATTAGTAAAAATTCCACGTTGAGACCCCGCTGCACGATGAGGCGCCGCCCCCACCTCACGGAGCCCGGTGGACAGAACAGAAAAGTTACTTTTACGAGCTCACTACAAAACGCTACAGTTATAGAATTTTCGTATTCTGAACGGTAGCTCGTCACGTGGCGCGACTCCGCCGGTCGTTGACCCTTCATTTTGATTGAGTTACATTGCGTAACATGAGTGTTACATGCGTGATTTGTTTTTTGTCTAGATAAGAACAAGACGAAAGGGAAACCGTTTCTGACGAATACCATTTTCATTTCCAGGACAATAGACAAGAGTTGTTAAAACAGACCCTCGATAGATTCCAATCGCCACGCCTGCTCCTCGAACCTGCAGACCCGCCGTCGACAGTGAGTACCTGATGAACTACGGAGCCCTTCAATCTTTTAAATTATTTCGAAGATAGAGATGAAGGCCGAAGTCAGTTCTTACTGATGGTAGGACATCTTGTGAGTCCGCACGGGTAGGTACCACCACCCTACCCATTTCTGCCGTGAAGCAGTAATTCGGTTCGGTTTGAAGGTTAGAACTTATATCTCCAGGTGGGTGGCGCATTTACGTTGTAGACGTCTATGGGCTCTAGTAACCACTTAACACCAGGTGAGCTGTGAGATCGTCTATCCATCTAAGCAATAAAAAATAAATTTACAGCTGGAAGCACAGTCATCCCCCGCCGGGGCCTGCGAACCGACGAGCAAGGACGAGGGGAAACCCTGGGAGGGAGCAGATGATTCTGGCTACGTGGATGCGAACAGGAGTAATGACAGTGTCGATGATAAGGTAATAGGATTTATTTTTGTAGTTCATTGCGTTCAACGGTGAACGGCCCGTTTCATATTAAATGGTTACCGGAGATATAGCCCATAGACATACAAAGTAAATGCCGCCATCTTGAGTGAACATGAGTTCTAAGGTCTCAGATTTTATAGTACAACAGTTGCCCCGCCCTTTTAACAGAAACGCATTCCTGCTTCACGGCAGAAATAGGCGGGGTGGTGGTACTTACCCGTGCGGACTCCCAAGATGTCCTACCACCAGTAACAAATTTTGTATTTTCTCGTTTGTTTATCATTATCCAAAGTTATTTTTTCACCATGGAAGTCAATCTTGAACATTCGTTAAGTACGCATTTCATCAGAAAACTTAGTACCTACCTGCCTACGACTTCAGGTAGGAATAAAAGATGGCGAATGATAAGGAAGGAGCTGTAGTCCGTAAAAACGAGGGTAGTTTACCCGTTTTTCCCCCGTCCCGCACTCAACTAGACCGTCGTCACGTCAGGTCGTTGACCTAAAACATATTCAGAGCATTCCACGATATTAGTCCAAACTGTAATTTTGTTTTCCAGCCGCTGAACAAACTCAATCAAGAGCTGATGAAGAAGATAATAGACCTGCAAACTGAGTTGGACGGAGTCAGGATATCCGCAGTGAGTCCCACTGTAAGATCCTCGGTACATCTTTAAGACTACATAAGTGTTAATTTTTTAGCTGTGTATAATGTGCGCGTGTGTGTGTGCATGTGTACGTGCGTGTGTGTGTACGTATGTGTGCGTTTAAGTGCGCGTTTGTGTACGTGTGTGTGTGTGTGTGCATGTGTGTATATGTGTTCATATGCTCGTCAATACATTGTACTTTAAGGTACTGGCAACTTAGACATTGAATGCACTTAATCCTATATTAATAGTTTGTTTATTGTTAACTGCTCGTGTTGCAGGTCAACATGGCGACTAAGAAAGAGGATCGATCACCGTCACCGGCCCGTACAGATAATCAAATTGAGAACCAATCAAAGGGGCAGACAATTGAATATGAACCTTATCGTCAAGATCGGTAAATACGTTTAACAATGACCTGTCAATTACGTGAAGTTATAAGGGATATTGTGATCGAGCGGCCGCCCGGTCTAGAGGCTCGTCCGGTCCATCCTATGACGTCACGCATTAAAGCTGTTGCGCAATTTCAGACTCGCCGACCCAACTCCGCGAAATGAAAACGTGTACATAGATACGAACAGCGATAAACCGAACAAGAACGGCCGCGGTCACTCGCACATACCGAGACCGATCTGTTCCGTCGCGGGGGCTGGTGGCTCCCTCGACAACAGTGGCGCTGTCCGACCTCAACTGACCTCATCGACCTCATCTGGGCACAGACCGGCGATAGAGAGAATAGCAGAGGATTATACAGAAGTAAATAGTCTTCAACAAGCAGAAGGAGGTGAAGACCAGGACAACATTACGAAAACTAGTTTTGATGATAACACGTACTCTTTAAGCGACGATGCACTCATGGATGAAGCTGGTGCGAATCGTAAAAGTTTGTCAAAAGCTCATCATAACATTAAAGATACTAATGAAAGTCCACTTGACGGAAACAGTAGCCCGGGTCGGAGCGCGGATGCTGCAACTAACATTGTACTGAGAAAGCGAAATCTAACACAAGAAAATAAAGGAGATGAGATATTTGGTGAGCGAAAGAAACTATAAGTGAAATCATAAGCTTTTGTTCGTTCAAAAAATATAAGAACTACTCACAAATTAACGGCCGTCTGCTGTAGTGGTAAGCGACATGGTCACTACACAAGGGGGTCGCGGGTTCGAATCCCGCCAAGGGAAGATATTTGTATGATATAAAATGTCTTTTTCAGGGTTATGGATGTATATGGATGTATAAAAATCTTACATTTATTTCCGTTATCTGGTACCTGTAACACAAGTTCTTTACGAACTTAGCACGGGACCAGTTAACGTGGCGTGATTGTTAGTAAATAAAAATATAAAAAAATTGGACGCCACGTACCGGATGTAGGAATGACTAGGCTTTTGGGATATAAACATTTGATATCCAATAGAAATAGCTTTAAACTGTGGTTTGAGGGTGTTGTTGAAAAAATATTTAAAACTGGGAAGCATATCCGAAAAATATACTTAAATTAGATATTAGTTTAATATTAATTGAAATTTCATATCATCGACGAAAAATTTACGAATTATTTTAGGTTAAATTAAAAAAAAAAATGAAACAACCTAATTAATATTTAAATAAAATTGTACAGCTGGAACATCACCCCAGAAGCAACTCATAGAGGAACGAGCTTGGCTCCGGACACCAGGAGAGAGTCCTCGCACGTACAGCGTGCACCACTCTTCAGCGAAGCACCACACCTACTCAGTGGACCACGACACCGACTGCGAGATATCCGACCTCACGGACCTGCCCACAGAGGGAGACGGTAACTTTTTTTTTATTGCTTAGATGGGTGGACGAGCTCACAGGCCACCTGGTGTTACGTGGTTACTGGAGCCCATAGACATCTACAACGTAAATGCGCCATCCACCTTGAAATATCAGTTCTAAGGTCTCAGTATAGTTACAACGGCTGCCCCACCCTTCAAACCGAAACGCATTACTGCTTCACGGCAGAAATAGGCAGGGCGGTGGCACCCACCCGCGCGCACTCACAAGAGGTCCTACCACCAGTAATTATGCAAATTATAATTTTGCGGGTTTGATTTTTATCACACGATGTTATTCCTTCACCGTGGAAGTCAATCGTGAAGATTTCTTAAGTACGTATTTCATTAGAAAAATTGGTATCCGCCTGCGGGATTCGCACACCGGTGCATCGCTCAACACGAATGCACCGGACGTCTTACCCTTTAGGCCACGACGCCTTTCAAGTTAAGTTTTAAGACAAAGTTAATTCAGTCTCAGGAAGATGAAAATCCGCGACCCCGACCACAGATTATACAACAGTAGACTATAAAGCGAGCAGCGACGTCGCGACTGGCCTTGTGGGAAAAAGGCGAAAGCTATCCATCACTTGCTTTGAGCTATCCATTTCTGAATGTAAATGTTCATCGATGAGTACATATTGCTTTCAGACAAGAGTTCTCGTCTCACGCTGTCTCCGGGTGAAGAGCCGCCGCAGAACTGGCCGGGGGGGTCGTGCGCCGCGCCCCCCACCCCCTCCTCCGTGAGCGAAGGGGAACTACCCACTTGTGACGTCAGTGAGTACGCGACACTCTGATTCATTAATATGTACCGACACAAGTCGCTGCGACCCCACAGCATTGACTACAAGTAATCAATTTAATTTTCAGGGAGGAAGTTATCGGAAGGCGAGAAACCTATTTATGAGCCGTAAGTAAAGTTGACCTCTGGACCCCGAACACACTTGACGGAATTGGATAACGTCATTTCGGATCCTTCCGATCCACTAACGATGCTTTTATGTCCTCAAGCATCGGACGAAGGGCTCGGCGAGTAAATTAACCCACAGACACAGCCCACTGAGTTTCTCGCCGGATCTTCTCAGTGGGTCGCGTTTCCGATCCGGTGGTAGATTCTGCGAAGCACGGCTCTTGCTAGGGTCAGTGTTAGCAACGTCGTCAGGTTTGAGTCCCGTGAGGTCACCTACTTGTTAGGGTTACGTTAAATCTCTCAAGACCATCAGAAAAGATAGGAAAAAAAAGCTCTCTCGCTGCTGACTTGTGCAGCGTTGACCTGGGTTCCGCGAGCGCCCCTTCCCAAAATGCCCAGACTCCACCAAGCAAACGACTTCGACCACAGCTAAATTTCATTAAAGTTTTTTAATTGCACGCAATGTAACAAAAATTTCAATAAAGCGTTTTCGCGTTACAATGCGGGCTCATCAAATTTGAACACAGTACACCACAAGTGTTCATTTTTAGCTTAGTTACTGATTAGGCCGGTAGTTTATACTCGCTTCGGCCGAGAATTATCTGTTTAACTCAATTATCTTGTGTTTTTAGTAGCGTTGTATCAGACATTTTGTAAAATAGTAATCTATATATTAATATTATTAATACATGAAGCAAACATTTTGTACCTTTTTTACGAAAACAACACGGACGGAGGAGTATGAAAATTCCCATACTTATAAGGAATATAGCGAAGGAGTGCAGGATACTAATGCTTTTGTGGATTTAAAAATGTGGAAATTGTGAATATAAAATACATTAAATAAAAAATAAAATAAAGACATTACCACACTACCATGTATTTGACACACACACGCATGCATACTATATTTGTTTATAGTCAAACTTTTCTTATTCCTTAAAGTCTGTGGTCAAATTAAGAATCAGTTAATATTTTTTATCTTGTAATACGATTTGTCTATAGTGTAGTCCTGGCGAAATCTGTGATTATAGAAACTTAATAGTCTTTGACAGTAGAACCATAATAATGTTCAAGCTTATAATTTCAATTAATTAGGTATAGTCGAATTTCGACTAATGGGGGTCTAGTAATTCAGTAATTGAAAATTTTAGAGTCGAAGGAACGTCACCGCAGAGAATGGAAGCGACGTTGAGGGCGATCGGCGCCGAGCTGGCCCTCTGTCGGCGGCTGCGGGGCGCCGCGCCCCCCGCCCGCGCCCCCGCCCCCGCCACCACCGCGCCTGCGCCGCACTGGAGCACCACTGGCTGGTGATCGGATGCGGAGTACTCCAGTTCATAGATAATACACATAAATTAGTTACAGATAAGCAACCCAAGCACTCAACAAAAATGTTTACGGGCGTCGGCCACTAGATGGCTTCGCTTCGATTAGTTTCTCATTGCTTCTGTAGATGGCAGTAACATATTACCTATCCTATATTTTATTTAAAATGAAGAATTTAGTAAATTTTCAAAAATCACAAATTGATAAAATTTAATCAATTTGTCTATAACAAATAAAGACTTGTATGATTTATTATTTTCTGTGTTTACTTAATACAATAGTTAAATGCCTTAATTTTAACGATATGTAAGCTTAGGAGCATCCGCTACAAGATGTCGCTGGTTCTATTCTAGTACTATTCCAAATATAAATATTAGTTTTTGTAAACTACCGCCATTTTTGTACGATAAAGTATATATGTTTAATTATAGTCTTAAGTATAAATTTAATAATAGAGACGAATAATTGTTCCTAAGATTAAACATAATCTAGTTCAGTTACATATATCCAATGTTCTAGTTTTAATCTTTTGTTACGTTACTTTTTATTTTGAAGATACACAATTGTTTCCTTTTCAGTTGTAATTTGAAAATAAATTAAAAAATATGCGGAAAATTCTCATTTGGATTTCATTAAGAATCTGTGTCGTAACAATAAGTATCACAAATGTATGGGCCAACGGGATCAACATTTTTAAAGTCGATTAATTGTCTCCAGCCGCGTCACGTTGAACACAAACCGTGCTCAGCTTTGTATTACTTGTAGTACCAAGTTTTTTAATTTATGTGTGCGTGTGTGTGCAGTGTGTGTGCTCGGTGTCTGTGTGTGCGTGTGTGTGGGAGAGTGATTGATTCAGTGTGTGTGTATGTGTATTTCGTTAAATATCCAGTGTGTATTGCCGAGTAGAGCAGAATTGCAAACAGACAAACAAACACAGCGTGACTTTAAGCTCACTCTTTTTATATATAAGGTTATTCCAAAGAAACTTTAACCTTCTGTATTCCCGCGCTGGCTGTGGAAATATCTTATAGTAATATTAAGACGTTGTTTTGGCTATTATTTTAATTGATGAAATGTTGTTTTGATAAATATCACAAAATGTAGGGTAGACTCCGTAACGCCACAGTATAAAATGGCGGTACGTGGATGATGATAATCGTATATATCAAGTGGACCGTGGGGTCTCCGCGTGTAGCTGAAAAGCCTCGCAGCCACGATGCTGCGAGTGCACCATCTATACATCTGGGCACGAGATAGGAATCCTCCCCGACTGAACGGGCCGCCGATCACTACTCTCAGCCCCCGAACTGTTGAAATATTAATTCTAAGATCTCAGTATAGCTACAACGACTGCCACACCCTTAAAATCAAAATGCATTACTGCTTCACGGCAGAAATAGGCAGGGTGGGTGGTACCTACTCGTGCGGACTCACAAGACGTCCTACCTCCAGTAATAACGCAAATTATGGGGTTTGCGGCTTTGATTTTTACTACACGATGTTATTCCTTCACCGTGGAAGTCAATGGTGAACATTTGTTAAGTACTTATTTCATTAGAAAAATTGGTATTCGCCGGCGGGATTCGAACACCGGTGCATCGCTAGATATGAATGTACCGTACGTCTTATCCTTTAGACCATGACGGCTTGCTTGGGTGGCGCCATTTACGTTGCACATGTCTGAGCTCCGGTAACCACTTATCATCGGGTGGGCAGTGAGCTCTTCCACCCATTTAACCAATAAATAAATAAAAAAATTCAAGCCAGAATGACCTGACTCTAATTAGCCGCGCATACACTTCATTTACTCTGCAGGGCTGCGTGTCTATTTTTAAAACTATACGTACGAATACAAGCTTTCAGAGGATAAGCTCACGGCGTCACGACTCGCAAGACACCCACCGGACTCCACTGGCACCTCAACGTAGATGCCTCATTGAGAATAAGCTTCGAAACTAATAAATCAGACGTCTAACCGATCAAAATAAACGCGTGTAGTATCCAGTCTTAGTGCAATAGTTGCTGCCCGCGGACGCGCGGATCCCGCGCGCGACTCGTACGACGCGACAGTTTCGTAATCTTGTAATTGAAAATGTTTCGCAACCGACCTCATTTGACCCCCGTCTCACGTGTACATAATCGCATAAAAACTCCCTAACAACACAATATGAACACACGAACATATTGTTTCCATATGTAGAACGCGCGCGAAATTTTTATGTTTTCGATACAGAACAAATATATGATAATATTTAAACGTTCTTTAAAAAAAAAAATAAAGAACTGATTAAATCGTGATGAAAATAGTAAAAAAATATCGTGTGAAATTATATTTCAGATAATCGATTACAATACGTGTAGTGAATAATAATCGATTTGTGATTGAACCCTCTAAATAAATATTAGTACTAACATTAAAATAATTCGTATTTAAATTTACTAGTTTAATAAAATATAGGGACTACTATCGTAAATATCGAAAATTCTGAAATAACCGTTTAATTACAATTCGTTATTAATTACCTATAATATAATTACAGACTATTATTATAGGTGCCATCGAAATTTTACTACAATCAGTAACAAAAACACATTTAATTTTACTCTTTTGTTTTGTTATGGAAATTTTGTAAAAGGAACAAAAACTGTTTCTGTATTTTTTTACTGACAACAACAACTTAATCTCATTCATATGTAGTTACGAAAAGAAAAGTTTTGACACAAACTGAAGGAAATATACCCAAACTGAAATACGGGACCAAAATCTTCACTTACATTGGAATAATGGGTTTCCATTCTACGAAGTTCGCCAAAGTCTACGACTAAATGACCACCGGCCATTAGGACATTCGCTCGCCTATCATCCACAGCGACACTTGAATATTGCGATTACTAAATATCTCTATATATAAAAATGAATTGCTGTTCGTTAGTCTCGCTAAACCGAAGAACGGCTGAACCGATTTGGCTAATTTTGGTCTTGAATTATTTGTGGAAGTCCAGAGAAGGTTTAAAAGGTAGATAAATATGAAAATGCTCGGAATTAAATAAAAATAACAATTTTGTTTTTCCTTTGATGTGTCCCCTTGATGTGTCTTTTATTTATCGATTGAGGCACTACGAAGTCTGCCGGGTCAGCTGTACTAGCTTTAAAAATAAAGATTTCGGTAATCTATGGGTGAGCAGGTCGCCTCGTTTTTAATCGATTACCGGAGCCCGCATACATCAAAGTGAGGATCTCATCACCCTAGCCACGCGATTGACATCCCATAGGTATCGATTATAAAATATAATAACTAACGGCTGTCGCATCCTCCATAATAAATCGCATAACTCTTTCAAGACCTATATCCCAAGGACCAATATCCTATCCCGAGGTCCTTTACGTCCTGCCCACGCGTGAAGGATGGCATAGGCGTCGCAACTTTTCGCACATTAGGTATAACAAAAAAAACGGTATTTTCTGTTCAATTTTTTATTTTATTTTATTGCTTAGATGTGTGGACGAGCTCACAGCCCACCTGATGTTAAGTGGTTACTGGAGCCCATAGACATCTACAACGTAAATGCGCCACACACCTTGAGATATAGTTCTAAGGTCTCAGTATAGTCAGAACGGCTGCCCCACCCTTCAAACAGAAACGTATTACTGCTTCACGGCAGAAATAGGCGGGGCGGTGGTACCTACCCGTGCGAACTCACAAGAGGTCCTACCACCAGTATTTTTTATAGTTTCTAAATTTATTATAGTTTCTAAAACTACAATTTTCGGAGTCACGGAAGACAAACGTCTATCTGAAAATTGTTAAAATTTATTCATAAAGGTAATTTAGAAAACACACCACAGGATTTCTTTAAGGTGTAGTTTTAATTAAAAAGAGACAGGTATATTAATAATATACCGACGTAATATATTTCGTATAAGCGAGATTTCGCTTCATACGCGACATTCATCTTTGTAATTAAAGGTCCGTTTAATATGGTATTTGCATCAGAGTATTTTTTTAATTGAAATTTAACTAAGTTTACAGCATTCATGCAATAGCTGAAGAAGTTTTTTTTTGTTAATGTATTTTTTCCAAATTATAACCATTAAATGGCTCTCCTGTAAAGTTGCAAAAATGTCGCTTAAGCCTATTAAATCCGCACTCGATGAGTTTGCTAGCCTTTCAATCTCATCATCAGACCATCTCGTTGGTAGGTCTGGCGGTGTACCTGGGTTAAACGTTACGCTAGTAATCACTGGGCCTTTTTGGGTAGATTCGCATGTAAACAGGGCGCAAAATTGTCTTTACAAATGGTTTCAGTGTACAATTTACCTATCTAACAAATAACCAAAAACGCTAGGTACCTAGGTATCGTATTTAAAATCGTTTTCTTGAAAATACAATAAAACAAACGGCTTATCTATATATTAATACGTGAAACAAAAACTTTGTATCCCTTTTTACGAAAATTGCGCGGACGGAGGAGTGTGAAATTTTCCGCACTTATAGAGAATATGTATATAGAAGTGCACAATGCTAATATTTTTTTAAAATAATGCATAAAAAATACATTAAATCAATAAAGAAAACATTACACACACTACCATGTATTTGACACACACACATATTTATTGTCAAACTTTTGTTATTGCTTAAAGTCTGTAGTCAAATTGAGAATAGTTTAGTATTGTTTATCTTTAATATTACTAGTATTTGCCTATGGTGTAGTCTTGGCGAAATCTGTAACAATAGGACCATAATAATGTTGAAACTTATAATTTCAGTTAATTATAGTCGAATTTCGACTACTGCGGGATCACTAGTTCGAGAAATTCGACGCATGTCAAAACAAAACAAGTTTTAAATATACGAAGCGACAGTCAATGGGACAATTTCTTAAAATACTTTTTTTTTTAGTGGCCAATATTTTTTAGTTCGAAAAGATTAATCAGTCAATCAATCCGCTGAACGCATAGGCGCTGTGCGTCCTTGCCCCAATGC